ATGCCAACATACTATGGGTCCAATCATCCTCGGGATGGAATACCCCAGGCCCACAACCAACAGGTTGGAATGCCCACATACTATGAGTCCAGTCATCCTCGGGATGTAATACTCACGTCCCACAACCAACAGGTTGGAATGCCCAGGTCTATTGGCTTTCGCACAAAGCCGATAAGCCTCAACTGCCAAACAACATGTATACATATATAACAGATAATCACATAACAATCTATAGACAACAACTGATCTAACGGGTCATACCACATATCACATAATATTATCCTACCCTCTAGGATACCGAACTAACAGGTCATACCACATATCACATAATATCATCCTACCCTCTAGGATACCGATCTAGCAGATCATACTAGCATAACATTACCAAATAACAATTCAAAGGGCCGGCCTTGGTGCCTTAGACCCTTGAGTATAGTGAGGATAACTCACCTCGCAAGTAGTGCTGAAATACTGCAAATCTCTAACTGCTGTCTCACCGGGAATCCCGAACTATCACATAATAAATACCAAGTCAATACACCATATAACAGTCTTGACTAATGGTCCACACAATCCATCATGTCCATTCTCTTTATTGGGCAAAGGCCCAATGCCAAGTCCATAACCTTGAAAGTCCTTAAGCAAGGGCCCATTATTGGCCCAATTTACCAAATTGGGCCCAACTTCCTAATTGGGCCTAATTCCAAGATCCATTATCAAAGCTTGGCCCAAAACATCATATTCATAAAGTCCAGCAAAGGCCCAAATCCAGCTAGTCCATAAACATCCCAAAACCCGAAGCCCAAATGTCAAAAGCCCAACAGAGGACGTACGCGGGGCGTACTCCTCTGGTACGCTGGGCGTACTCGTTCTGATGTTGACCACCATCGGGGTGGTTGACCCGGTACGCTGGGCGTATTGGAGTTACGCTGGGCGTACGTAGCGTTTTGCCACAATCTTAATAAGTGCTTAATGGCTTAAGCACTTAAGCCCAAACTTCAGATCCAGTGACTAAATGTGCCTAGGACCCATAAAGTCACGAACTTTATCGCTTTGGACGTCCAGAAAGATCTTAATACTTGGTCTTAATCCATTAAGACCTTCCTACTCCATGCATGGGACATCTTAAGCCATTGAGACCTCATTTTTTTATCACTCAAAACCCCTTCAAGAGTCTAGAAGGACAGTTCATTTCGTCCAAATCACATCATGCATCATCTTGGGACTTTTTGGGACAAGAAATGGTTCTTAAAGCAAAAATGGCAAGATCTATACATATATGCATAAAGTTTGAAGCTTTTTACCTTCTGGAGCTTCTAGAGAACAAACTAACTTCAGATCTACAAGCTTCATCTTCTTCTCCAACTCCTTGATGCAACACCTTCTTCTTAAAACACTCAAGAAACACTCAAAGCTCACACACACAAGGAAATGGCTAGGGTTTGGGGAAATCGGCTCTAAGCAGTGGAGGCTGAGGTAAGGAAGGGTTAGGTGCTCATAATGTTGCTTATATAGCCCCCAAACCCTAAATATTAGGGTTTCATCCTGATATAAGTACGCCCAACGTACACAAGTGTACGCCCAGCGTACTAAGGCGGACCTTAGTACGCTTAGCGTACTCTTATGTACGCTCAACGTACTCCTTCTTGACACAAGGTTGCAACCTTGGCCCTTATACTTATCTTGGCTCTACACTTCCAACCCCAAGGACTACAAATGACAAAGTAATGATAGAAGAGGGTTTGGAAATACCTGCAAAATCTCAGGATGTTACATTCACCCTTTCCGAGAGTTAGAAAAGGGGTAACCTAACATTTTAGAGTTATTGTTATAAAGTCTTAATTAGAGATGATTATGATATGTAGGCGGAGTCTAGACCGATCGTTGAGTACGAGACCTACTTGCTTACTTACGAGGTGAATATTCTCACTATACTTACCCGAGTGGTAATACTGTGTGACCGGAGGGTCTTATTTGATTTATTGACTGGAGGGTCTTATGTGCTTATACTGAGTTATGTGATATTATGCATTTTGTCTTTGTGATTTATGTTATATATTATTCTGTGCCTTACTGAGTTAGGACCGGAGGGTCCAAACCGAGCTGTGAGACCTAAGGGTCTTCACTGAGATACAGGACTGAAGGGTCCAACCCGAGCTGTGAGACCGGAGGGTCTTCACTTAGACATATGACCGGAGGGTCCATACCGAGCCGTGAGACCGAAGGGTCCTCACCCGAGAAGCATGACCGGAGGGTCCATGCCGAGCTATAGCCATGAGAGGCTTATTATTTGTGTATGTGGTATTTTGGGGAACTCACTAAGCTTCATCCTTACCGTGGTGTATGATATGTGTTTCAAGTACCTCTCAGGATCGCGGGAAGGCGCCGACTTGATTGTACACACATGTTAGAGATTATGTTTTTTGAGGATTCTGGGATATTATCAAACATTTTGTTGCCGTGTGTTTTTACAATTGATACATATGCGGTTTTTGAGAAATGTGATATTATGTTTTATGTGATTTAAAAATGAAAAATTTATTTGAAAATTTAGAGTGTTACACTTTATGTTACACGATTTGAATTTTTAACATTGTTGTATTACTTTAATCCACCTACATCTATTGACCGTAATGTTATGTACTTTAATTTAATGTAAATTAAATAAATTTAATTATTCTTACAATATTCACAATAAAAAAAGAAAAAAATCTAGTATTTTATTTTTTCTTTAAATATGTTTTTCATATTTCATTGAATTTATTAGGGTCTTCGAAAACTTTATATTTGTAAAAAGTTTAGATTATTCGTGTGAAATCATTTAATAGTTTATTACAAAACTAGGTCAGCCCATTATTTTAAAAGTTGTGTGAAAAGTAAAAGTGGGTAGTCTAAATATAATTATTCTTATATAAACAAAAATCATTAATATCACGATAAGTCGTCGATAATTTTTACAAAAATAATCAAAACAAAAATTTGTCGTCGTCAATACTGATATAAATAAAAAAGAAAAAATTGGGCCACCTAAATGACATGGACGTGTGCGATCGTACTCTCCACGCATGCTTGAAGTCGGCCCTCTTACAAAACATAAAGATAGATAAAAGGTTTTCAAAAAGATGTTAAAGAGGTACAATGTAAGAAATTTAGAAAATATCAAAATTTTAATAATCTTTAAAAAATGTGGAGATAATGATGTTCGCATGTTATAAGAGAGAGAGAGAGAGGTTGTCTTTCCATTTCAAAATGTTACCACGGTAATGAGAAGAAACACAAATAAGACACATGGAAGGTGTTTGTGAGCTCTTAGACCAACTTCAATCATAAACCACTAAAAATATAAAATTGATAAATTTTTAACATTAAAATAGAGTTCTCATTCCAACCACACACTAAAAATTTACATTATAAACATATTTTAATATAAATTATAATAGTTATATAATAAATAAATATTTAACTAATATAATATTGATAAAGTGAAAATAAAAACTAAACTAAATGATATTTAAAGCATAAAGCAATTTTGGTGTGTGAACAGTGACCCTGCATTTATATAGTGGGTAAAATTGATTCACACAAAAATACCGACCTCTTTACCGGCCCATTGGATTTAGAATTTGCACAATAACACCAATTTGGTGGCCTATTGAAGATGCCCTTAATGCCATTGATGGAGGTCTGATCCTCCAGGTCGTTAATTTACCATATCCAACTCTTTAATATACTAAAGTCTAAAATAGGGATGAGAATTTGGTCTGGAAACTTGAACCGAACTGAACCGACACCCGAACCGAACCGAACCGAATTAGGCCTGAATAAGCAATTTGATTCGGGTATCTATATTATGCTTATTCGGTTCAGGTCCCAATAAGAGCTTATCCGGTTCTAAATACCCAACCCGAATAACCATTCCTCGTCTCCTTTCTCTTATCGACAGAAATCAAAATCACGATTCAAACTTCTATCCTCGTCGTTCATAACAGAAAAAAAATCCTACGCCCGTTCTCGTCGTTTGAAAATCGACCAATCTTCGCAACTATTTCCAAACTCGAAATCACTTTTGTCGATCATTTCTTTTGTTTCAGACTTTCAAAAATCGACCATTCTTATTGTCTCTAAGGATTCACGAATTCCTACTTTGTCTAGTCATGAAATATTAGGCGCCAACTCAATAAATTCAAGTAAGAAATTAATTCTCATTATGTTAATCTACTATGTAAATGCTATTCTTTCAATGTGTTGTGTAATGTTAGTCTTTGTATGTTTTACGTTGATGTATAAAAGTACATTGTTATTCTATTATTCAGGTTATTCGGGTTATAGAATCCTAATACGGTTTATTTGGTTTTTTCGGTTTTATTAGGTCCTTAATCATCTTATACATGTTATTCAGGTTATTCGGGTAATAACCGAACCAAACCGATTAATACCTGAATCGATCTGAACCCGTATTGGTTAATCGGTTCGGTTTTCGGTTCATACAATTACCCTTATTCTCAGGTTATTTGGGTTTGGATCGGTACGGTCCGATTCCGATTCCGATCCGAATAACATCCCTAGTCTGAAAAGTTATAATTTAAGATTGTTTCAATAAAACAAAGAAATAGAATGTATATGTGATGACATTTCTAAACCCCCGTACACGTGGATCCCTCCCATGATCCCCGGGTTCCAAACTTCCACTTTCCAACGCTTTCCTTGAAATTACAAAGAATACCCCTCAATTATCTACCGATATGCATATCCCCCCTTTTTATCATCTAAGTTCTAACTCTGCATATATTTTCTTTATAAAATTTACCTTCTGGTCACATTTTCATAATTTAATTGAAGTTAATACTTCTACCAACAAAAAACAGTACGTGGCGAGATTACTAGTGTATTGTCATCAACAAAGTATATTAGAATAATACAAAATATAATCTATAAATCTTTTCATTTAAATGGATAGCAAGAAATTTCAGTAACATTTTTATCGTTCTGTGAACACCTCCATGGAGAATGGGCAGCAGCAGCCACTTCTCTCCGGCGACAACTGTCCCAATAACTACACAACCCTAAGCAAGTTACTGGCGGCGCCCTTGACTTGTCAAGCAGATGAAGATGGCGTGCAAATCAATGGAGTTGGAGATTTTTGTAAGGAGTTTTATGTAGAATCTAAAAGACTATGGTATTTGGCCGGACCGGCCATCTTCACCTCACTTTGCCAGTACACCCTCGGCGCCACCACCCAACTCTTCGCTGGACAACTTGGCACCATTCAACTCGCCGCCGTCTCCGTCGAGAACTCCGTCATTGGCGGCTTCTCTTTATCCATCTTGGTATGCTTAAATCCAGTAATTAATACCAACGCATGCAAATTTCGTAGCTTTTGAAATTCATCATCTTAAACGTTTATTATAAACTATTTTATTTATGGGGTGTAGTGTGGGATGGGAAGTGCTTTAGAGACACTATGTGGCCAAGCCTACGGCGCCGGAAAAATCGAGATGCTCGGAGTCTACCTGCAAAGATCATGGATAGTCCTTAACACCGCCGCCATGGTCCTCATGTTTACTTTCATATTCGGCGTCTCAGTCCTCCGCCTGCTCGGCCAGACAACAACTATATCAATGGCGGCCGGAAGCTTTGCCGTTTGGATGATTCCACAGCTATTCGCTTACGCCACGGTGATCCCAATAGCTAAATTCTTACAAGCACAAAGCAACATTATGCCTATGGCAGTGATTTCTGTGGTGGCAACTCTCAGCCATGTGTGTTTGACCTGGTTGTTCATGGTGAAGCTCGGGTGGGGTCTAGCCGGAGCGGCGGTGGTTCTTGATGGGTCCTGGTGGTTCATAACCTTGGCTCAGATCGCATACGTTATGTGGGGTTGTTGTGGTGAAGCGTGGTCTGGTTTTTCCTGGAAAGCTTTTCGTAATCTGAAGGGGTTTCTTCACGTTTCGTTTACCACGGCCGTAATGTTTTGGTAAGATTCCAAGGAAAATTTAAAATCAGAATAATTAAACAATTTAAAATTTTAGATTTTCCAGTTTTAACGATTTAAAGACCTTAAAAAAGGTCATACTTTTTTTGAAAACGCATACTAGAACTTGCACTTACACCTTAATTGAGTAAAACTCGTCATGAATCAGTCCAAAACTTTGGTCTGGTCAAAGCCCAGAACGGATAAAAAAGCCGGTCCAATCTACTTTACGGCCCGGTCCAAGTTTCAACCTAGTCTGAGTCAGTAAAGCCCAAAACTCAGGCCCAAGTGTGTAACTTTAGTCCAAAGTCCAAACACACACTTCCAGTTCCCAGGCTATATATTGAATGAATATAAACATTGTAAAATTTGTAAGTGACGTCTTTGCAGCTTGGAGACTTGGTACATGATGTCGCTGGTTCTTTTTGCGGGGTACTTTGAAAATCCAGAAACCTCTGTTGATGCACTATCTGTGTGGTGAGAGTTCATGGACCCACCCTTGCAACCAACCTTGAAACCTTATTTATAATGTTTTTGTAGCATATAAAATAAAAAATTTGGTATTCTAATACATAACCCACAAAAGAAAAACAAAATGTATGGCTCCACCACTGATGAAACTGTAAATCTAACCTTGTGTCTTACATTGCAGCCTCAACATATTAGGATGGGTGTGCACAATTTCTTTAGGTCTCAATATAGCCGTAAGGTTTGTACCTAACCCGGATCAAAAATTTCCATTTGGCAATTAGCACTAACAATTTTTAACGAATTTAATTAAAAAAATTTTTTCATAGTGTAAGGGTGTGAAACGAACTTGGGTTCAAAAGGCCAAGAACCTCCCAATTCGCGGTGGTAGTCGTAACCCTAACTTCACTTCTAGTTGGACTTCTTTGCACTACAATTCTTATGGTGTACAAAAAAAGATACCCTGTGTTTTTCACTAGCAGTCCAGAAGTAATGCAACTTGTAGAAGAACTCACATCCTTACTTGGAGTCAGTATAATCATCACCAACATTCGGTTCGCTCTTTCGGGTATGCCAAATCACAATAGGGACACATTTTCACAATAGCGACACATGTCATACCTTAGTGGATGTTGAATTGGTGTTACATATTGCAGGGGTTGCCATTGGAGCAGGGTGGCAGACCACGGTAGCCTATATGAATTTTGGGTCGTATTTCTTTTTTGGCATACCGTTGGGTCTTTTTCTAGGGTTCATACTCGATATGGGTGTCAAGGTCATATCTCATTTATGGTACCTTGAAATTATTACAAGTGAAATGGTTTGATCTTGCTAACCATGATACTTTGATCTTTGAAACTCAGGGAATATGGTCTGGAATGGTTTTGGGAGCAAGCATGCAATGTTTCCTCTTGCTTATGATGGTTTCTCGAACTAATTGGAATGATGAGGTACGAATAAAATAATATGTCATAAATGTAGGATACAGATATGCAAGTGGCCGTGGCAACAAAAATACTACCCAAATAAAAACACCAAATAATCATTTTCAATACATAAGGCTATGTTTTTTATGCATGACTAAACATCTGCCACTGGTATATACTAAAAGTGTATCAATAGGAAAAAAATTGAAAGTTTGAAACTTTTATCCCTCTTTAAAGAGTGGAAAGCAAAAGATTTCAACGTGTTTCTCATCCTCATCATAATCGAATATAAAATAGAAAGCTTGGTCATTGATGTCTAGTGTTTTTCTGTCCCATTTGATAATATAAGATCCATGTCTTTTTGGGATATGCATTCACATATTCAGATTTTCACACTTGTATAATATGGAAATAAAATCTAAATGAACAACATTTGGTCTTATGAAAACACAGGCAAACATTGCAGGAGATAGAATCATACATTGGGGTGGTGACATTCTTAACAAAGACCATGACGAAGAAAGATCGAAAGAGCAATTCAAAAGGCCATCATGACAAATGATTATTCTGGTATCGTATACTTAGAGTTGATCAAAATCCAAATGACACTAATGTATAGGAGTAATACAAGTGCTTTAGTGGTGCTAGTATAGCTGACTTACCTTATAAGATTTTGAGGTCAGATGGGTCCTAGTACTTTAGTTTTTATTATTAATACTAGGCGAATGCCGCCCGTTGCGCAGAAACACCTATATAGTTGAAGTCTTTACAAATATATGTTTTTTTTAAATATAATAATAACGTTGTTAAATTTGATATAAGAATTCACATACTAAATTGATATAATATATTGATTATTTTGAATTATATGATAATATATACATTTATTATAATTGCATAATCTCAATCGTTTGAATGACTTCTACCCGCGAGTTACTCATGAATAAACTTAAATATAATATATGGTTTAATGTTTTTTTTTATAGTTGTTGTTATTGTTAATTAATTTATTAAAATTTATTTGCTTAATGTTTTAATTTCTATCATTATAATTATTTAAACATCAAACATTGTTTTTTGATTTTAAAGGTAACAATATAATCATTTATATAGAGTTATTTTTAACTATTGTTATTAGAAGTTATTTTAAGCTATTTATTTGAAAACTTTTAAAGATTATAAAAATATATTTAGGAAATATTTAAGTTAAATTGAGATTACAATTTAGTTTTTGCATTTATCACTACAATTTATCACTTTTAACTATTTACAAAATATTCTTTGGTTTTTAAGTGGAACTGAAATTTATATTTAAGTTGATATTGTAATGTTATATTTAAATTAACAATTTAAGTATTTTGTCCAAATTGTTCAAAAGTTGTAGCTTTAAACTAATAATGGTTTACATACAACAACATTTAAAATATAATAAATTAAGTATAATATGTTAAAAGTTAAAGACATAACTTTATAAGTAGAAGTAAATATATTATTTTTAAAACTGAAATTTAGTTTATTTACGATTACACTTTAGGTTTGATATTTATTTAACCTTATTAACCAGCTTATAATCATTATTAGAAAGACACTATAATTTATCACTTTTAACTATTTACAAAACATTTTTTGGGTTGTTTAAGTTAAATTAAATTTATATTTAAGTTGACCCTATAATGTTATATTTAAATTAATAATTTAAGTATTTTATACAAATTGTTCCAAAACTATATCTTTAAAATGATAATAGTTTACATCCAACAATATATTAAAACTAATAAATTAAGTATAATATGTTAAAAGTTAAAAAAAACATAACTTTATAAGTAGAAGTAAGTATATTATTTTAATATTGAAATTTAGTTTATATATGATTACACTTTAGGTTTGATATTTATTTAACCTTATTAACCAACTTATAATTATTTTTAGAAAGAAATTGAAAAGTCATTGAAGTTTCAAATGAATGTGGTGAAAGGAAAAATACATGGGAGTTTCAAATGAATGTGGTGAAAGGAAAAATACTTCCTTTATAAGTATATATAGATAGATATAGATTTTAGCATGAGAGTTGTTCCGAGTGGTCCCTTTATCTTGAGAGAAAATGACAAATCTCTTATTTGGGTGGTCATAAAACTTATTTACCAAATCATAGTGATTTGAAAATTAATTACGAAAAGACACTAATACAATTTTGACCCCATTTTTTAATAAAAGAAAGAAAAATAAAGAGTAAATAACACAAATGGTCCCTATAGTTTGCGGTAATTTGCGCGTTTGGTCCATAACTTATTTTTTTAACTAGGAAAGTCCCCACTGTTTGTTTTTGTTACGCACTTGGTCCCAACTGTTTGTTTTTTTTGTTACGTGTTTGGTCCATGTCAAATGACTATTATTTAAATAGGGGAAAATGGTGGGGTGGGTAAGGTAAGATGAGGGGATGAGGTTGGAGGTTTGTTTATTTAAATAAATTAAAAAATTAAGGGAAAAATAGTTTTTTAGATAAGACAGGGACCAAGCGCGTAACAAAAACAAATAGTAGGGATCTTCCGAGTTAAAAAATAAGTTAGAGACCAAACACGCAAATTACCCTAAACCATAGGGACCATTCGTGTAATTTAATCAAAAATAAATTTCAAATGAACCTTCTTCTTCGGTTCTTCCCATCCCATTCTACCCGGCCATCACCACCAACCACCTCACATTGCTTCAACCAGAGACCTCTTCTTCCATGCTAAAGTATACCTTCTGCACCGAGACCTACACCAGCAGAAACACAAGTTTTTTGTGTTCCAGTTACTAGGTCAATTGTAACCCAACAACATTCTGATGGCTATAAATGTTCTACCTGCAAAAAAATCGCTTGAACTACAAACGTTCAAACCCATGACCCCGTGAGAAATATCTACGTGCAAGACATTATCATCCGGTTTTACTCTGGATCTTTTTTCAAGTTTTCGGATATGGAGAATTAGGATTTTAATGGCAAATTTATGGGAAAAGGGACAAAAGAAAAACATAATAAATTCTTATTTCGGAAATGAATCCTTAAAAAATTCCGTGATTCTATGGATTTTCTTCTTATACTTTCATGAAATGATGAAAGTTTTGGGGTAAAACTAACCCCATTACCCATATATGGGTTTCTTGGAAAGACAACGAATAACGAGACAATAATGATAAAAGGCGACGCAATACTGCAACAACTATGTGAGGCAACAGTGACAAACGACAAGGAAAATATGGTCAACAGCAAAGGCACAATTAGAGACGAAGAAGAAGGCCTTTAAGGAAAATAGGGGAGAAGGTCACATGACCAGAAGACTATGGTTGTTTTGGGATTTGTTTTTGGGAAATTGAGTAATCTAACCCTTATAAATAATCTTGTTGACAAAAATGACATTTTTTTGTAAAGTAACCACATTCTCCGGAACTCATTGTTCGGAATTCTGGAGTACGATCCAGACCATGGTTCCGGAACACGTTTTACCTTTTTTCGTGTAACATGTGGTCTTTCTTTTAGTATAAATTTTGGTTTTATATAATATATAAGTTTTGCTTTTATAAAATGTATAACTTTTGATTTTATAAAATATAAATGCAATTAAAATCGACAAACAACTAATAAATACATAAACTAAATAAATGATGTGTTTATAGGTTATAATACAAATAAGATGTTCAAATTATCTTTGTCATTGTACTATAAAAAATTTTGCTAATCATTTTCGATAACCCATAGCCTATGGACCGGTTTTACCCTCTATAGAAATCGATTTTCCGGTGATCAACGCCTCCAGGAACCAACACAAAAACACCCCACAATCCCCTCTGCTGTCAATCTGTTGTAGTATGTATGGGGCCTTTTCGAGGGTCATCTTGAAGCTCTCAAGTGGGATTGAATCATTCGGTACCCTAGTAGTTGACTCCCAAAAGCAATTTATGGATGTGGGCTCTCATACCTATAAACCAATCCTCATTTTCCAAATAGTAGCTGCCCTTCCGATGACTATCGTATATAGTCATTTTGAATGTCTTCAAATCCAAAGCACCCAAAAACCAATGAGCATGTGGTATATTGATTGGCGATTGCCCATTTTAGTAAAATTGTCCAGGACATGGGGCATACACTTCGACATGACTGTTAAACAGGAATTGGTTTTTGAAAGTCTATGAGTATCACATGTTCACGATTTTCTTTTGGCCATCCATATAGAGGGTCTTGGCCAACATGTGCCATCCGTTGAGTATCGTACTATCCTTAAGTATCGCCACATGATTCCCATATTTTCGATTGATGAGATATGCCTAGTCTATCGGAAGACATGCTTAAAGTCTTTTGGGGAGCATGCAGTACATTGTAGAGAGCTCCAATGTTTCAAGTATCAACATGATATGGTGAAGAACATTCTCTTTGATGTTTTTAGGCATGCCAAAGTTTCAGTCAAGAAAGAAGCATTCGTGAACTTTTTGGCTGATCTATTGGAAGGAAGATCAACACATAGATCGGTCGACGTTTTGGTTTTGGATAGGTGAGAAGGAAACACACTTGTTAGATCTAACTGAGATTTCTCCTCTTGTGGGCCTAGGGGAAGGGTTTCACGGTGATGCAAACAACTTTTAAAGTTGCCTAATGCACAGTAACGAAACACGAAAAAATGTGCATGTATAATCAACATGTGTTTATAGCATCACATTTGATATTTTTGGTTTCCTTGCGCCTGAGATATATAACTCCTCAATATAGTCCAACCTGTCATGCATAGTAATGTTATGACCTCAAGATCTATAGATGTTTTTATAAGAATTAGTTTTGAATCCTAAGAAGAAGTAGCAGCTCAGCTTTGTACAGCTCAATGTAAACTCTTATACCTCGAAAGGAAAATTTAATAGCATTGAAGACAAATATAAAGACATATGAAGTATACTCAATTTCATCATTGTTATTTAATAATGGTTGATCAACAAAATCTGTAAAGATAAATTTGTTGAATATATGACATTATGTGTGTCCTTACATAGTTGGACAACGTTATGAACGGTTGCCCTATCGCTTTTCTTCTTCTTTCATTTGTCTTATGTATGTGTTGTAGTCACCAAAAATCACCAATAAAAGCAGTCTAAAAGACCTAGTAAAGTGAAATACAAGCAATCTTTGTACAGGTTTCAACTGTTTTTAATACTACTACATTCAATCCATTTAATATAAAACTAATAATAATTTGTAGACGTACTCATGAAACGACAGATAAACCACGACATTATACCATTTCTTTTTTCCAACTTACATAAGGACTATGGTTAACATCAAAATTAAACATTCCAACTCCTTTACCAAAAGGATATAATTGATAATGCAACCTTACATCCTTTAAGTTTATGGTTTTTTTCTTAACATTAATTTATCACCAAGTCATTCACAAACATGAGCAAACTTCCAACTAACGTTAAGCTAAGCTTAGAGTGTAAAAGAGCATAATGTTACAACATGTATGTCATATCACTACAACTTTATAAACCTCAAAATACAATCATTTAAAATGGCAACAAATATAACCAGGAAATCAATACTTTAAACTAAACAATTAACCATTCTCGAGGAGAGCATGTGCAATTACTAAATCTTAAAACATTTACTTGATACAAGTGTTTAACAATATGAAGAAAGTAAATAAAGCTATCCTTGTACAATTGTCAAGACAATGATTGCAACCTTTTGGAATAACACGCACACATTGCTAGTAACAAAGAGAAAGAATCTATTATACGTGAGCTTCCAAAGTTAACTTTGAGATACAAATTATTATAAATATATATTTCTCTGGATTTCACGATTCTGATTCTACAATGAACAAAAGGATTGTACCCAAAAACCATATTGATATAAGAATACATGATGAAGGGCTAAATGTAAGAAATAGCAATGCATCTTCATTTATCTGTTTATTATAACACCCTACTTTCATTTTCTATTACAGCATTGTATTTTCATTTAACTTTCTAATTAAGGCATTGTACTTTGAAAAATCTACCCAACTACATTTTTTTTTAATTTTTTTTACAAATCTACACAATTATAGCAATGAAAATTGCTTGGTATTTAGATGGCAATGCTAGGATAGGGTAGATTTTTTTCAAAATATAATGCAGTAATATGAAAAATTATTAAAAAGAGACAAGAGATGGGACAAAAAATTGCAACTTTTGTCCTATTCACATCCGTCTGAGTCCAATGCATGTCAAACACAGTACAACCACAACCTGTTCTGTTCTGTTATATACCGTGTGTAACAAACGTACCCCAAAACAATTTAACAACAATTTACAACAGAGCCTCATGACGTGGCCCACTCATCAAGAAAAGGAGGGGTGTCACGAGAGTTGTTTATGCAGTGAATTTTTTTTTTTTTTTAGTAAAAAGGATGGGTAGATGTAGTATTTAACCTGAAGTGTTTTACATTGAGATTTGAGATTGAGTAGGTAATGTTAGCTGTTTAATCTCCAATCATAAGGCTGATATACCACTTTTAATTGACTGTTATTAAGCAATTCCAAAAGGGTTCGTGTCTTTTCAACTTCCAAGTAATTTGCAGCATGTTTCAGTACCTCCACTGCATTCTTCCCAAAATCCACACTGTACCTATCATATTTTACAATCTCATCTCATCTTCTTTGTCAGGAGAGAAAACCAGATTATATAAAAATGTTTTCCTACATTGGTGATATTGTAACTTACCATTTGAGTATTTTAGTAACTGATATTGTCATGGAGTCCACATGAAGTACAAATGCCCCACTTTGTAAGAAGTCGTGAGCAGCCTCCACCAATTCCACATCAATGTTTTTAGGAGAATAGCATCGAAGAGCAGGGGCAGATCGATTTCCAGAAACTAGTGCAAAGTGTATAAGAGGCTCAGCATAGGGAAGAGACACCTGAAATATATATATATATACATTTTCTAAGGAAAAGTTGAGAAATTACAAAAACCCATAATTAAATACACAGACCTTAAAGCGTCTATCATAGATACCAAAGGGCTTTATGAGAGTATATGGTGGTCTCTGGTTGCCTCTTAAAATGCCATTATAGATGTCTGAAAGGGAATATGCACACCCACCAATAACATATTTGACTCATTAAACAATTTCCTTCTATCCAATGCTCCTTCAGGATGACCCCACACAAGTATTGCATGAATTGCCATCAAATTGTATAGATTGATAAAGAAAGCAAGCCTTTCCTCCTTGGCTGTTCTATTTAGGTCAATTCTTTGAAGTTCTTCTGCAATCCTTAAGAACCTTTTGTTTTTTTTTAAAAAGAAAAAAAAATGAATCGCTTTTACTCAAAATCGATTGAGAGTTAAGAGAGTATATGAACTAACCTTGCAAACTCCTCACTCCCATGGATAGTTCTATAAGCAACATGCCTTCCATCTTCTGATATATAGGCTTCAAGGATGGCATATAGTAAAAATCTCAACCTATGTGAAACTTCTACAAGAGGTTGTCTCTTAGACTGAATAATACCCCTTGGGATGTTTTGACACTGACTTATTACAGGATCTTGATCCAAAAATCGGTAAAGGTGATTGCCATCTTCAAAAGTATTTTCTCTAGGTTTATATATGCACACACAAGCAAATATCAAATCAGAAACAGAGTAAAAGGAAGGGCAACACAAATTTTAGCTCAAAAAGTTAAAGACTACTCAGTACTCACTCAAGAACATGCCGGAAGAAAAGCTCCTTAGCAAGCTTCCGGGCAAATTCAATAGCCTATTTGTATGTAAAATGACATTAGAGCCCTTAATCACAATCAAACAACTACAATAGACTAAGTTGAGTTGAATATAACCACTCTCAGAATCAACTAAAATTTGTAGCAATCCATGAAGATACTGAAAGAAGAAAGTATGGTATTGGTACCTCTTCTCGTTCCAAGAGTTGATCTTCTGACAAGAAATCTACAGCTTCTGAACCCAGAAAGCAATTGGTCACCCTCCGAAATTTATAAAAACGATCCTTAACAACAATTGATTCCTTCATCTTCCGGACTATAACTGCTAATTCATCTACAATACCCCTACTAGACACGTCATCTTCCCCTGAAAATGGTGGTAGAGGACCTTTTGGCGATGGCCCTTGGGAAGTTACGTACTCTATTTTCTCCTGTAGCTTACCAGACTCATCCAAACCTTTTAACTCATTCAACCCTCCAATTGGGAACTGATTGAAAAACACTCTAGGCACATCTGAGGAGCCAGTCATCTTTTCTAGCTCCAATTTTCTACCTGGGTACACATCTACATTTATTTCCAAATACCTGAGCCTTCTCTTACGTAGAAATAGCCTTGCCTCTTTGCAATCTGCGCACCATAACCTTGTATATAGTACAACCCTTCCTTTCATTGCTATTGATTTAGGTGACTCAAGACTCAGACTCGCCTCCTTTTTCTTTCCCTCATCCTGATCCTTCTCTGGTGTTATCTCTTGGCTTTCTCTTTCATCTGTCTTTACCTCCTTTATGTTTTTGTTATTTTCATCAGAATCATTCTGCACATCAGTTTTTCTGGAAAGACGGTGGAATACATTAGAGACTGCATATAAGCTCTTCAACTTTACAAACTTTGTGAGAACTGAAACCTTTCCGGGATTGGCTTCCATTATAGGTTCCCAAGTTCCATCAACTACAAGCCCTTCTTCCTCCTTACTACAAGTGTTATCTTTAGGGTCGGTTTGATTCTCCTCTGTTTTTTCAGATAATGAACTTTTACTGATACCCTCATGATTATTCAAGTCGTCACCTATCTTTTCACCATCCTCTGCACAAGTGACATGCCTAACATCCTTAGAAGATTCTTCCTGAATATGATGGGCCTCCGTTTCCAACTTTTCAGTAGGTTGATGGTCGACTTTGACCGTTTCAGAAGAGTATTCCCGATCCTCCTCCTCTTCGGTGTCTTTAATGCAATCCAATATCTCCCCCTCCCCCTCTTTGGTAATGGAATTTAGTGTTGTATCATTTATCGAATTATCCTTCTCCTTGTCTTCCATAGTAACCTAAATCGCTCAATGCCCACGATCTACGTTCTGAACGCGCTGTACCCAAAAGCGGTACGGAGTCGTACCAAAACGTAGTCGGTATGCGAATCGGATCGACAGTCAAGGCGCGCCAAATCGAGAACGTAATAGGTCCGATCGATAAGGGAATCGCCTATTGGATCGGATTTTTCCATGTTCAGCCTCAATTGCAAACGTCGACCTGGACGCCGACTCCTAATTTGGCGGGAATTTCAGCGACGCTTCTCAATTTCGGATTTATTGGACACAATTGTTGATTTGGTGTGTGCGATAGTAAGAATGAAGGAAGGCAGAAGACGTGAGAAACTGAGAATGACAGCAATCAATCCAATCTAGGAAAGCATGGCGACATGAAGAAAGTTGGTGTTAAAGAGCGTTTGAGGGATCACTTTGAACATTAATCAACATGACAGCATGAAGAAGGTTCGTATAACGGACAGGCCCTAATTGTGATAACATAAAATTTGTAAATGGTGTTGTGTTTTAGTGTTGATAGTGTAAGAAAATTAAAATGATTTATAGAACTTTACCAATACAATATTATTATGGGATTTTCTAATATGTGCCTAAGGGCACATATAACAAACATTAATTGATGATATATATTACCATAATTAATTATAAAATACATTAATTATAAGAAATATTACCATAATGAAATGTGAAATGCATTAATAATCTCCCATAATAAATATCTATTTCGAATTTAACTATGGTAATATTTTTCATAATTAATACTTCTTATATATGTCCTTAGGACACATATTAGAAAATCCCTATTATTATTTGATGTTTTACCTAAAGATTTGTTAGAACCGGAAAACTCATTGTGAGTTGAGACTTGCGAACATATAGGAGTTAAAATATGTAGTTTTGAATTTCAACTGTTTTTTTCTTTTTAAATTATATTTATAATTTGAATTTTCTGGACAGTTTATATATATTTCCAATCATTTTTCCTACGATATTTGAAATTTTGAAGCAACAAAGAAATATTTCTCTTCTAAAACGCGTTTTCTTATTCAATAAAGACGTATTGCGTTTTGCAACACATTCATCACTTCATGGGTAAGAAAAAGAATATGCCTGATAAAATATTTATAATTATATTATATTATATTGTAGTTTCAGTATTAACTAATTGATTTTTTTTGTACATACCAATTTAGTGATTTTGTAAACAAAAATTTACAATAAGTTAAAAAATATTAAAACCCAAACGATATAAGCAGATACTATTTAATATTATTACTCTCTCTCTCTTAACTTATAATTCAATCAAGTGAGCATATAAATGTATTTGTAGATAATAGATATGATAAGAAATCAAATCAATACCAAAAGAACATGGAAATCAGAAATTTCAAAGAAATTAGACAAAATTGCAAAAATGGTTCCTGTGGTATGCAAATTTTTGGGGTTTTAGTCCAAACCCCGTGTTTTTTGGATCCTTGGTCCTTTTGGAGTGGTTTGTATGTGGAATTGGTCCCTGGACTTAACTCCCGTTAAATAGGATCTGTTAACCCCCCTCATGTGCCTCACACGTGAGGGTAAATTCGTCATTTCATATGTAAGGGACCATTTTTGCATAACCTGTTTTTTTGTCTTATTTGACATTTACCCCTCTCTCTCTCTCTCTCTCTCTCTCTCTTGTTTGTTCATGAACTCAGGTTTCTTTGATTAACCAGTTGAAGATACGTTCTTCATTCATCTATTCATCTTTTAGAAACAAAAATTCAAGGTCCAATTTTAAAAGACACACACATACACCCGAAAAACACATTCAACGTACAACACATCGATTCAACAAACTGCACACACTGATTCAACTTGTTATGAGTTTTCACACACTGATGAACTTGATTAAACACACACACGCACACGTTGATGAACTCAAATATCAAACACCATACCGACCTGTTGCACCTACGATCATACACATCACCCCATTCTTTCACCTTCATCTCCCAACAGTTCCCCACCCCTGTATAAACCACTTTTGCAATCAATTTTTTCAGATACAGATACAAAAAGGGGAAACATCATCGATATGACCTAAAATCAAAATCAAACCTATAATAAAACCTATTGCAGAGTCGGTGATTTCCCCACCCACATTAGTCAGTCTCCAATTATAGAAGCACAATGCTCCAGCACATGCACCAGTAATGGCATCATTACCTGCTCCTACAAAATGTCATGGACTGAGCATCGTTTCCCCTTCTCTGTTCAAGTTCTAAAAAACGTAACCAAAAACTTCTCCAATGAACACGAACTGGGTCGTAGTGGATTTGGGGTTTGTTTACAAGAGTCAAGAACACGAGAGAAAATAGTGAGTTCATGTGAGGATTTAGGGCAAATAAGGGAAGGAGCAGGCGTATTGGCGGCGATGAGAGGGAAAATGGGTTAGGGCAAAGAAGGGAAGGAGCAGACAATGATGGTGCGAGAGGAGGAAACAAACGGTAGTACGCACGCCTTTCCTTGCTTTGAAATCAATACAAAAATCAATACTTGGAAAATGAGGATAGTTCGATTGAGCACCGGATGATTTCTTATTTGAACCGGATGTAGAAATCATGAATTTCTTTTTTTGTGTGCTTCTGATCACCAGATTCTTATGAAAGAAAGGGGAATATTGGTTATTGTTTAATTGGGTTTGTGTTTAGAGAGAGAGAGAGAGAGAGAGAGAGAGAGAGAGAGAGGTGAATGTCAAATAAGCCAAAAAACAGGTTATGCAAAAATGGTCCCTTATATATGAAATGATGAATTTACCCTCACGTGTGAGGCACATGAGGGGGGTTAACAGATCCTATTTAACGGGAGTTAAGTCCAGGGATCAATTCCACATACAAACCACTCCAAAAGGACCAAGGATCCAAAAAACATGGGGTTTGGACTAAAACCCCAAAAATTTGCATACCATAGGGACCATTTTTGCAATTTTGTCAAGAAATTATAATGTGAGCCACGCTGATAGCACCTTGGAAACGAGACACGTGTTATGTAGATCTCCCAGCAAAAGAAAACCACACCTACCCAAGGCAGTTTACACATGTCCTGTTGTGAGTATGCTATGTGTCTTGTTGAAAGATAATAAATTTTGATTTACCAGTTATTATTATAGAGTCAATTACTAATCTAGCCAAATTAAGGAATTGTTTAATAATTTTTAGCCAAAAATTTAGTAAATGTCCAAATATAGCCCACAAAATTGTAGGTTTCTATATTCGTCGACTGTTTCGCCAATTCGTCTACTATAGGGTTCTATATTCGTCGACTGTTTCGCCAATTCGTCTACTGTTTCGTGTTTTGTATAAATTTTTTTTTCATTTCTAAGATATAAAAGCGTAGGTTTTTTAAAACCTACGGTTTCCTCTCGTTTTAGCTACGGTTTCCCAAACCGTAGCCTACGGTTTTGGGTAAAAAATCCGTTTTTTTAAGTCTACTGTTTTGGGGTTTAATCTACTGTTTTGTCAAAAAAAGCTACGGTTTTAATTTTTTTAATTTTTTTTGTGATATAGAGTATTAAAAAGAGTGTTTATAAGATGTAGAATTATTTTAACAATTATTTTATTAAAATTTTTTGAGAATTCAAAACAGTAGACTTAAAAAAAAAACCGTATTTTTTTCCCAAAACCGTAGGCTACGGTTTGGGAAACCATAGCTAAAACGAGAGGAAACCGTAGGTTTTTAAAAACCTACGGTTTTGTATCTTAGAAATGAAAAAAAAATTATACAAAACACGAAACAGTAGACGAATTGGCGAAACGGTAGATGAATTACCACAAAAGAGTAGTCAACGCCCGTTGACCGTAGTCAACTGCTGTTGACTGTAGTCAACTATGGGTTGACTACTCTTTTATGGGCATTTTTTGGCTAAAAGGTTTTTTTTAGTTGACTACTCTTTTATGGGCATTTTTGGCTAAAAGGTTTTTTTTGCTGTTATTTGATAAGTAATTAGCAATTATGGTTAGATTTGTATTTTCCCCTTGATTATAAGTTGGGTAATTATTGGTGTTTTTAACAAAATAGGTTTTATTTTATATAATCAACTTTCAACATCTCAAGAGAAGCTAAAGTTTTCAAAAGTTGTAATTTTTTCTTCATATAGTTGATTACAAAATATCATTGGTTAATAAAATAGTTTTAGGTTTATTCATAGTTTTAAAGTTTCCATTGTCATTTTTAGTGTTTTTAGAAACCGATTTTTTGAATAAAATCCAACAATAAGTTTTTGTTACATCCAAAAATCATAAATCCATTAAAATTACGTAATATAGAAGGTTCATTTATATGTATTTTCATGAGTCATAAATTCATTATAAAATGAATTCATTTATAAAATATAATCGAGTATATATTTTGTGCTTATGAATCAAATGGATTTTCCAAACAATTAAAATTGTATGTTTAGGTAGATGTTTTTTGTATTTATTTAATATTATTTAACTAATTTATAATATTATTAGAAAGAAATTGAAAATATATGAGAGTTTCAAATGAATATAGTAAAAGAAAAAATATATATTTCCTTTATAATGTAATATTATATTATATTATAATATATATGATTATTAACAAAATATGGTCAAGTGAAGGGGGATTCAAACCAAGGATTCATTACAGGGCAAAGGGATTTTTTTTAGGGTTGGATCGTTGTTTTATGAAGGGGCAATATCGAGGTCAAGTGTTATCAGCAGTGGGGTTTGACAGGAATAATGAGATTTACCTATTTACATATGCTTTGGTTGAAGCTGAAAACAAGGATTCATAGACATGGTTTTTGACACACTTGGGAGAGGATTTGGAGATGGGAAGCAACTCTAACTTCACCTTCATCAGTGACAGACAAAAGATAAGCAATTCACATTCACTTTTTTTTTGGTTTTCTTTTGTAATTATTGAGCCTAATTATGTGTTTGAAAGGGGGTGATACCTGCAATTGCCCATTTGTTTCCAAATTCTGAGCACCGATATTGTTTGAGGCATATCCATGAGAACATGATACTTCAGTGGAAGAGTGATGACATCGAGGATCAAGTGTGAATTTGTGGCATGGCAACGATAGAAGTACATTTCAATAAGGCCATGGCAGATTTGCAGAAAATTAACAATGAAGTTCTTTCATGGTTGAGTAAGATTTCACCAAAACATTGGTCTTTAATCCATTTTTATGGTATGTGTACTCTGATATTTAGTTGGTGCATGTTATATTATTATGGATGAATGATCATTTTTTTTTATTTTTTCATTGTAATAAATGTACAGGAAAGGCACATGCATATGCATTACTGAATAACATTTGTGAGGCTTTTAATTCAAAGTTGGAAGAGGGAAGAGACAAGCTTATTATCACATGTGTGCAATTTATAAGGTATTACTTGATGAAGAGGTTGAAAATTATACAAAAAGCAATTGAAAAATGTGATGGTGCATTGACACCATATGCACCACAATTGTAGAACAAGCAAAAACGAATGT